AAAAAATTATTTTTAATTTATAATTTTATAATTAGTCTTTTTAATATTGTTTTTATTTAAATAATTAATAAGGTTTTTCATTTACTGACTTCATAATATTTGAACTTGATAAAAAATAATATCAAAAAAAATAATTAAAATCATATAATTCTATTAATATTAAAAAAAATATTATTATGTTTTATAATACTAATGAATTTATTTTAATTAATATTAATATTAATTTAATAAAAAAAATTTTCATAATATAATTTTTTTTTTACAAATGAAAGAAAATTGTCATTTTTTTTGCTACCATTGTAATAAAGAACATATTAAAAATCAATTTGTCCATGGGATAGATTCGGAAAAACAAGTGGAAGCTAGAAGATGCGGACTGGACCTTTCATAAGACGAGTTAGTAGGGAGATTGAGGATATTTCGTAAAAATAAAAGTGGTATATAATATCTGGGTAATGCTACTAAAAATTAGTTATCTAACTAGATGGTTTTAGTACTGTGCCACAAAGAGAGGTTAAGGAATAAAACAAACAATATCCACTTATTTTGTTTGTATGAAATGACTTATTAACCATTTAACTATACTGTTATTCTGGCTCCTCGTATGAAATAGATAGGACAGCAAAAAATTTAACGGAACTTCGCTACTAATCTTTATATCAACGTATAAGATTAATTGCTTTGTAATTTATTTTAAATAAAGATACTTAGGGTTTAACAAAGTCTATATTTATGATATTCTCACATTTTTCAGACCTATTATTCGAAATAATATTTTAGTTAAACTAGCATTTAAGCTAATCCAATAAAATGACAGATCAATTGCAGTGTGAGTATGGATTGCTATAAAAATCGGTGGGGCTTTGGTATGATCAAGAAAAAATTTTTGCTGTTGTCTCTTTCTGCTGCATTGCATACAAAAAAAGCAAAAATAAAACCTGCCATATTGTACCAACGCCGCTTATAAATCGAGCATAATAATAAAGACACATAATTCAATTATACAAAAAAAATATATCTTCAATCGATTTTTCTACCATATTGGCTCCTCATACAGAAATGATCAATGCCATCCCAGAAGATATGCCTTTTATGAATATTCTGCCTTGTTTTTCTTCCTCACAATTATATTTCCCAAAGTGAACGCTGTATATGGGATTCATAATCGCAAGTCTTTTTTGTATTATGTTGCGCAAAATATCAATAATGAATTCTCCGCGTGCGATGCAAAAATCAGCGAAATCAAAGCCGAAATTGACGATCATATGGCAAAATTAATCCTCGCGATGCTAATTACTCAAAGTACAGAATATCACCTTCATAATTAATAATATGTCTGGAAAATATAACGAGGTCAAACAGATTCTATTGCAACTGATTTCGAATCAATTAGTAGAATCATTACATAGCTTCAGAACGAAATCAATCAACGAGACACTCCCTTGTCCAGGATACTAATATGAGAAGATCTGACCAGCAAAGTGAGGCTTCATATTCCTCAGATTCAAGCCAAAGATTCGCGAATATCATTTCAGTAATCGGGAACAGTTTTAGGATATCTTTCTTAGAGTTAAGGGTGAGAATATTATACTCTAGACAATATGCGTAATATTGAATCCGCTGATATTCTTAAGCTTGGGATAGGGGTAATTGGAAAAGATGCAATACAATAAAGGGTTTTTGTCATGGGAATAGTATGAGAAGCGAAAACTTAGAAAATATAGGTGCTTGGATAGATAATAGTCATTTACACCACTACTGAGTAGCAGGGAAAGAACTGCCAATATATGGTTAGGGCTCGGCAGGCTTCCGAGCAAGCATGTTCTTTTATTAGATGATTGTTTTGTTTGGATAATCTCATAAAACTTTCTTTTCAAAATTTGAATAGAATAATTATCATATTCCGCTGTCACATTATTTTTCACTTCGGCTCTAATAATCATCTATAAATTAATTAATTAAAATGGATCAATTAAAAGATAATTATAAAGTTATAAAATGGAACTTACCATAAATTCTAATAATCTTATTATACCCGCCTTCATATCTGAAATCAGATTCAGTCTAGAAGCAATGTTTAAGTTCCCGTATTCGTCATAGATGTATACACCATCTTTCCACATTATTAGCATTTTAATTTCAAAAGGTAGCCTAGTACTCCAAAAACAATCCGATTATTATAACTCATGTCACCATTCACCATAGCCTATAAGATTCGAAAATTTAAACAGTCCCTCATTTCTCTATACAACTTAAAAGAATCTGTTGCCAATTTTGTTAAATCACTCTTGGAAGGTGGTCCAGTTTGTTAAACAACAAAAACGTCTTCACCTGTTTTCTCTATCCACGCTAATAAATCCGCAGATTTACCATCAATCACTTTATCTATGATGTGTTTATGCCCATAATTTTTTTTATATTTTGTGGCGTACACCGGAGTAATAAATCAGTTAACCTTTATACTTACGCCCTCCAAGACCTATAAATTCTTGTAATGCTCTAGAAAAAACGATGTCCAAATTCGACCCAATAATAGTGCTCATTGGTGTTTGGTGCACTAATATCAGGCATTGGTTTCGCAAATGATTCAATCCTGCAAATATAAGATGTTAGAAACAATGTACATTTAATAACAATATAAAACCTTAACACTTAAAATGAAATCATCACTCGATATAAGTACACCTTAATTTTACCGCATCTTCACTATAATTCTTATTTAAAATATTTAAATTCTTTGTAATGTTGATCCAATCGGATAAACTTTTTATTGTTCCATCATTCGTTTTTTCCTTATAAAATAATAAAATTGATAATTGATATAAATATCAAATACGAACTATAGGGTATAATTACCTTAAAATACTCTTCAATAATATTCCGCCATACTTCTGATACTTCAACTTTCCTCTTTGGCTTTTTCAATCGTAATTTTATATAATTATCATTTGACAAAAATTTCGAAAACCGCTTTCTCCTCGAATATCCCTTACATAATTTATGCATCTATTAAGGCGATATTAGGTATAAATTACCCATGTCCTGAGCAATTAAATTACTTACGAAAACGGATCTTTTTGCGATTCATTATATTTTATTAAATGTGGAATAAAAAATCGCCAAAATACCGTTCATGTAAATTATTGAGTATTCATTATTGAATGCATTAACCCTCAAATAAAATACCTTAGACTCATCAAGTTTGCCAAACTTTGGGCTGATATTCTTAAAATATTTTCGTCAATTAATATTTCATTAATATATGTATTGTTTGTAATTTGATGAGGGGTTTGATGGCCATCTGCACAGCAAATAATAATTTCAACAATCTTGTTTAGATAAACACAAGGCAAAAAGGTAATTACCATCTAATGCAATGCTTTTGCTAACCAACTCATCGTAATCAACAATATATGGTGACGGTCCTTTCTGAACGGCATTTATCCCTTTAAGTTTATTACTTGCAAGATGATTTTCCTTGTTTTTTGATAATTGATTGGCAATTATCTCGTGTTGTGTTTTCATACATGAAATAAGTATTTATACGACGTTTGACTTTAATTCGTTCCTATAACATGTTGATACACGTTAATAATAAAGAAATTGATAGAAGCTACACTCAATTCTTTTTAACATACCTCACATTTCATTTCGATAATACTATTCCAATCAGGCGTGTCAATGTTAATCTTTACATTAAAAATTTAAAGACAATTAGTAAAATATCTCCCTAGCAACTAAGTAACTAATAATTAATCAAAGAGGTCATAAAAAGTTGCAATAATCGCAATGATGGGGTTGAGGGCGATACCTAACTACCCACAGATCCAGGGCGAAACCTGACTGGAGCTTCCCACATCATCACTCTGGCGAGGGCGAAACCTGACTGGAGCTTCCCACATCATCACTCTGGCGAGGGCGAAACCTAACAACCCACAGTACAGGGCGAAACCTGACTGGGATGCCATAAATGCAGAAAACAAATATTTCATACTTTCCTTCACGTTAAGTATTTTTTCAGTTGTTATAAACCGCTTTTCCATATGCCATCTAAACCATTAAAATCAGTCCCTTTCGGAGAGCGAACTACTAAATTAGTATTTTGCCTGACAAATCCCGGAACAGAGCCACATCCTGAAGCCTGCTCAATGTACTTTTTAATTTCTAAAAAAAGATCAGTAAAACAATATAAAGAAGGCTGTGTTTTTTTTTTTATTTAAAAAATATCTACCTCAAAGGCAAACGGAAAATTGTCCATCACGCGTTTGAGTTTTTACGAATGTGAATCGCGTTATATTTTTAATTGGTTACACCAATCATAATGCACGTTACAAAAAAATAAATATCGATATCCAAAAATTCTGATCAATTATTGGTTGATTATGATCATGTGAACGGAACCCGGACAATTAGGATTTTTTGAATAAGTTCAAATTATAAAAAAAAAATCCGTAACTTGATAGTTTAATAAGGATTATAAAACTACGGATTTTTTTTTATACATTTAATGTCTTTTTATTGAAAGGTAAAAAATACAACACATTTTTTGAATTGTTGTATACACAAGCCACGATTGACAAGTTAAATAATATATTGATGATAATCTAAATATTTATTTATTAGTTTTACTATGTATCATAATAAAAATTTCTTTATCTTTTAACCATATAACAATCTAAGCTTTTTCAACCCTTCACAACAGTAACTATTACAACCAAAAACATCAATATGTAATAACTTCAATATGTACAACGATTTATAAAAATGTGGTTTTATCAAGATATTATAAAACAACAGATAGGTAAAAATGTTGAGTTTTGCTATTGAAAATTTTAATACAAATAATTATTTATGAAAAAAATTTTTTTTAATAATATTTTAAAGAAAATATATGCATTCTTCAAGAATATTCTTAGAAATTTAATAATAGGATTAATACTTTTTTACTAAAAATATAATAGTATTTCTTAAAAGGTCAAGTTTATATGTATTAATATAACAAGAAAGTAATAACAATATTATAAATTTTTTTAAACTAATAGAATCTAATGTATACGAACCAATTTTTAAGATTTTTAAAAATATATTACAATAAAAACATAAAAATCATTTTTACAGTATTTTAGTTAAAAATAATTTAAAATAATTAAATTTATAATAAAATTTGAAATAAAAAATAGATATATATTCAAATACTTCAATTATTTAAAAATAAAAATAAATTAATTAATTAATTTATTTTAATTATTAAATATAATTTATTAAATTACTTCTTATATAAATAATTTCTATGATTCAAAATTAGATTAAATAAAAATAATATATATTATAGAATAGTTTAACTTTTTTAAATTAAAAACATATTGTTATATATATTATATTACTTTATTAATTTTGATACTTATAAATTATATCTTTTAAGAACTTATCAAATTAATTTTGGCTTTATTATACTATTGGTATTATTAAATATTATAATATAAAAAGTTATTAAATGGATAATTATTTTTGAAGGTGACTGGAAATTTTCTGGTACTATAATTATGATCCTAAAATTTACATTACATATGTATTGTTTAAAAGTAGGGACCGAAAAAATTATATCTAGCATTTTTGTTGTCTTCAAAAATAATTACCCAAATATATAATAATTATAAAAAAATAATTTTTGAATTTTGTTTTTTATATTTATTTATAATATTAATATTATTATTATTAAAAATATTATAATTATTGCTATTATTAAATGTAAATAAAACTTTGTTAAGATAAGTTTATTTAAATATAAGAATAGTTTATTTAATAATTTGCTTAATAATATTATTATTTATCTATTAGTTATTATAATTAAACCTATAATAATTATATAAACTTTAATATATATAAAATATTTATTTTAAAAAAACTAATAATTCATAATATACTTATTTTTTTTTTTTTTTTTTTAACATAGGTAAATGCCATTTCTTTATTTATTTGTATATAGCAGGGTATACATTGTGGAAAGAAACAATATCTCTCATATGTAATTTACAGTAAGTTAAATACTAGCTTGCCTACAGTAATCACTTAACTTCTACTAGAAAAGACATTTTTAAACTAGTATACTAATTAGGTAATGCCGAGCAGCTGTGGATACCTACTCAGAGTTTTGTGAAATAATGTTATAATGGTTAGAGATGAGATTATATATACATTTGAAATAATTGAATTTGCTTTGAATGAATGTTTCCGTGACAAGAGTTGAAATGTCGATTATGATGTTTTCGGGGGCCGGGATTGAGGTGTTGTTATTGGAAGATGTGTTGTTTTTTTGTGCCCCACTCTTCCTGGCATTGTTGTTGTCGATGCTTGTATTGTTAGCATTTGTGTTGTTATTATTGTTGGTGGTGTTGTTGTTATTATTGCTCTTCTTCTTTTTTTTAAGGTTTTCATTCCATTTGATACCTGCGGTGGGTAAAGTGTTTGCTGTACTGCATCAGAGTTTCCAAATGCAATTGTAAGAGGATGTGAGCGCTTCAACAGATGCTTGGATCCACTTCTGTATATCAGACGTGGAGAAGATGCCCTTTGTGATTCCACACGCAAGGCCTACTACCTGGTCTGCACTTGACACTGGGTTATTGCTATTGTCTGGGTATAAGATATGATTGATGGAATCTATTATTTGTCTAGTTTCTTTTTTTGCTGAGGGGTAGTTGAAGACATGAAAGATGTTTTCAGTCCGGAGATTGCATCTTGGACAGTATGGATCCTTGTAATATTCAGGGTATAATTGGTGGAGGAATTCTCATGTTGGGAGTGTACTTGAAAGCATTTTGATTCTGAATGTGATAAGGTTGCTATAGGTATTGTTGTGAAGTCCTTTTAAGAGTTTGTTGGAGGAATTGATTATTTGAAGTTCGAAAGCATCATGAGTTTGATCAAATGTTTTGATTATGGACGAACTCTCGCTAATAATGTAAGCTCTGATGATACTGAAGATTTTCTTGCACCATCTCGAGCAGCTACCCAGGTCTGCTTTGTTGATGGTGGGGTTTTCTATGAAGTAGAGGGTTGAATTATCCCACTGGATTGAGTTGGTGTATCTTGGCTTGGATTTGGGTTTGGCAGACATAATATACTTATTTTTTAAAAGCTATAAATATTTAATATACTTATAAAAAAATTATTTATATAATTACTAAATTTTATCAAAAAAAAAACTCTTTTCCATTTCCAACAAAATCGTAAAAAATTTCCTTTTTTGGTAATAAATAAGGAAAGCATCCCATCACTATGTCGTTCTTGCAAGGTGGCCCCTAGGCAAGTAATAAAACAAAACCAAGCACCCGAACAAACCAAGCCTCTTCCTCTTTGAGAAAGGGTAAACACAAAGCAACAAGTGAACAGGACAAGGAGCTCCCAACTTCAAGTCAACTACCTGCGCAAACCACATCCAACATCATTCCTACAGACACAGAAGGTATCGAGATCCTCTCTTTTGATATGGAAACAGACAACTTTCCTCCCAGCTCCCCTCCTACTGGATTTCAAGATTCAGATATAGAAATTGACAACTGGTATTCTATAAACGAACAAGAACTTGGTAAAGAACAAAAGATAACTGATAATCAACAAAGGGAAAAAACTCCTTGCAAACCTTTCGGTCCAGCTACTAACTGGCAAACTGAATACAGCAGACATCGTTACAAGAGAATCATTAACCTAGACTCGGTTCCGGATAAAAACTCTGAGAAAAAAATGAATATTCTCTTAACAGAACTTGCACAATTCGAATCTTTCACTTCTCTCAGACGCAGCACAGAAAAAAACACCTCCATTGCAATTGCCTTTTTTGGTTCTGCAAAAGAAGCAGAAAAGGCAACTAATATTACACTATATAATGATACCACAATTCACCTTATAGCCGCAGAGCTGACCAACACAAATGAAATCAAATCAAGAATGGTACGTGCATGGGACATTCCCCTGAGTACCACAACATCTGAAGTGCATACAGTCTTCTCCAAATATGGAAAAATCAACAATGTGAAACTCCACACAGAAGACATGTGGCAATCTGCCACTATTGAGTTTGCCAATAAGGAAAACTACAATGAAATCATACAACGCTGGTCTATTCCTTTTAAGGCAGATCTAATTAGGATCTTTCCATTTTTAAGAACCAATGAAATTAAACAATATCGTAATCAGCACATAGCAAAACTAACCAATCTCCTACCAGGAACAACAGGCTACGATCTCAAAGAGATCATTAAAAACACAGGGCCAAAACTTGCTACATCTTCCACAATCGCAATTACTTGAAAAGAAGATTCGCCATTCTTAGTTTTAAAAACTACGAAGACAAAGAAAATGCAAAACAAACCACTCCCACTCTCGGTAATACACAACTAGCATGGTTCGAGCTCACTGACAAAATTTGCCCTATCTGCTCAAATCATGAACACTTAGCAATAGATTATTCAATTAGACAAAAAGCAATTCAAAGAAAATCCACAATGCAACAACAAGCCAAGTCTTTTGGAACCTTATATCAGAAATACAAACCGGCTGGCACAGCAAATATTCGTAAAATACTCCCTCGCAACAATCAACCAACTTATGAACAAATGGTCAAAACCTCTAACTATAAGTCAAAAACACTGTCGATCAACAACACCAAACCTCTTCTCAAAAGCGACTCCCAATCAACAATTTTAACTGTAATCAATAACCTTGCTCAGGAACTTAACCTGATTAAACAAAGCATCAATGACATGAACAAAAGAATCGAATACTTAGAAGATTTTGCTTATTATCACTCCAGTGAATGTGACTTGGGCACTGACCAACAAGAGACAGACAACGAAAAAATTGAATCAGGATTTCATACACCAATCTTCTCATTACAACAAGAAACAGACAACCCCTTTGATTACCAACGCAAGAGACAAGCTATCAGCCCTCCTGATGACATCAAACAAACACAAGCAAACATTAACAACAATATTCTTCGCCTGGAATCCAATATGAACGAACTCATTTCTATAATCAATACTTCAATAAACAGCACTCCAACTATCAGCGACAATATCCCCACCCCTGAAATCCAATGACAACAAACAACTTCTCCATAAATAAATCTCTGGACACCTGGAACATTACAACAATCAACACTCGCGGACTCCACAATCTCAGTAAACAATCCCTCTGGTTCTCATACATTTCAAAATCTAATTATCAAATAATAATCCATACAGAAACAAATAATAA